GAACGTTTTTTCTAGCATATCTTACCCAACTTTGTGTGATTCTTCACTGAACTTACTCCATTGTCTTTAAGCCACTTTCTGGCAATGCATTTTACTGTCACATGCGGTAACTTCTCCATGCGATAGTAACTAGCTCCTTCACTTTCGACTCCAAATTACATTCACCACTCTCCAATTAACCAACATTTTATGCTCTAAAGGCTAGAAAGTGGTGGATGGCACCGTTGGACTGACTTAAGGTGGTAACAAGGTACCCGCATTGAACAAGCGTCTGGCAATTGGACCAAGTCTATTACATCGATGTGTGTGGAAGGCTTTTGTCATCACTCCTATAATCGCATACCGAAAAAGTGCACTTTTGACAACTAAAAGGTGAAGTGAAGAGAGCAATTACAATTTGACAAAACAAATTTCCTCCCATAAATATGTCAAATGTCTAGAGTGTCTGTCAAAAATGGCGCACTGCTTGAATCACCTACTTCCCATAATTTTTTTTTCAGTGCGAGCAGCTTGAGCAGATGTGAATAACCTTTTTACATAAAAAATACCAAGATTATTTTCCTCTTACTGCTAGGCGATAAAATACGGCAGGGTTTTATACACTTGAGAGATCCGTAAAAGATTTTTTCCCATCATTACACATTCAAAATGGCTTTTGTGCAAGTGTTCTGCCTCAGCGCATCATCTTTACACAAACAGGTGAAATAGGTTATGTGAAGAGGAAAGAAGTGAATTAGTTTCAAGCTGGGTGGGTGAAGAGAAGGGTAAAGAAAGTCCTTCTAAGCTCTATTTTTGAGGACAAATGAAGGCAGCAGTCAAAACTGGAATGAAGCATATGCAGATCAAGCACACACGCACGAAATGTGCATGCAAGGCGAAGGGCATAAATTGGTGGTGACAGTTGCCGACAGTAATTTTGTTGACCTGTGCAAAAGTGGCCATAGTGTGGCTGTTTCCAATACAGCAATTTGGACCACTCTGAGTGGTAAGCATTTTCCTCCAAATCAAAATCAAATCAGGGCTTCCCAGATTGGGGAGTGGGCTGACTTATTGATAAAAGTGTCCCAGGATAGCAGTAGCGATCTGTAGAGGCAAATTACAGCAATGTCTTCGTCCTCCATTGGTCTGATGGAACTCTGGAGTGACAATTTTCGATCTAAAATGCCAAATACACGTGATGATTGGGTCAATCAATAGGCACTACACGTGGAGACATTTTGGGCGAAACCTTAGCTGGAAATAACATGAATTCGCAATGAAGTTCTGATAGAACTTATAGGAATGGGCAATTCTACCAATTGACATCATGCAGCGTCGCACATCATTGCTCCGTTCGGTGCATCCTTGTCCAGCCGGTAGCCGCAAAACTGCTGAAGTGAATGGTAAGAACGCATCAAATCACAAGAAGCGCCATCTACCGCCCAAGCCCGGAGAGAGGAGTTTGAATGTTAAGCGGGACGAAAAGTTGGTATGCCATCGTACTTCCAGTAGTTCTAGACCACCTGGCAACACAAAATTGGTGGTAGGTAAGAAAGACGCGCATTTAAACCATGAGCTGCGCGTGTCACGAGCAGCTACAATGAAGTCAAAATGTCCACGAAAAACTTCACAAAAACTGGTCTCCAATCCGCCCACAAGAAAGGTCTCATGTTCTGGTGGAAATACAAAGAAGGAGAGAGCTGAATCAAAGGTTTATCACGAAAAAATTGTGCATGAGGCGCGTACTGAAAAGGTTAGCGTGCCGAAGATACCAAAGATTCTTGTGACACTGGTAGAGAGTGAAAGTTGGCGGTCATCGTCTAGCACCACTCAGAGACGGGTGCTCCACTCGCATAGTGGGGATTCAGTGGAAACCCAGGCCGAGGCTATCGACACAGACGAGGTCATAGATTCAGGTCAGACGTCAGACACACTAGACAGTTTCGAGTGTTTCACAGACTCTCAAAATGAAACGACAAGCAGCAGTGATTCTGACAAATTTGATAGACTCCAGTTTAAATCACAGGAATGTAAGACTGGTGGGGAAGCTGAAAGAGGTAGTGGTACTGGACAAGGACACTTTCCGACTCTAAATGCTACCGCTGCCCCAGACTCTCTCTATTACAAGATAAAAAGTACCTCTTTAGGTGGTCGCTCTCAAAACCAACATCCAGTCGGCTCATTAAAAATTCCCCATAAAAGTGGTTTTGATTTGATCCCTTCAAGCACGAAAATTGGCGCATTAGCCCACAGCAGTCAGGAGGAATTTTCGTGGATTGGATGGAATTCTGCAAACTGGCATTACCAAAATACCCAACCTCTAAATAGATGGGGTAGTGCAGGAGGCACTGTGGACGGCTCAGCGAACAAAGACACGTCAAACAAGTATCCACTAAAAGTGGGAAATAAGCCGATCTCAAATCGTTGTAATTCTCTGGTGCATAAGGAATCTTCGAGAAATAAGCATGTTTTTATATCTGGTGCTACACAACCACACATCTTGGTCGATGCTTCGGGGGAGAACGATGTGACGAAGGTGACGTATATGAACCAGACACAATCTGGGGAGGAGGATTTAAGTGAATCCGGTAGCCGAGCCATCATTTCACAGGCCACATACACGCAGACCTCTCTAACGGTCAAAAAGGAGGTGGAAATTGGTGCTGGTGCTGAATGCCATCAAGCAGATCGTGAGCCTTCAACTGTAGGCAGTTTATCTACCCTGCCCCCGTTCACGTTGCCAGAGCATTGTACCCAACTAGACTGTTTAGTTGGGGATGACGGTCCAAATATCGTTTTATCCCCTTCATATGAAGCTCCGTTAGCAGGAATTTTGACCACAGAAGGATGTCAGGAAAAGCTTTCTTTGCCAAATGAGGAAGTACACTTGCAAAGAAGTGAGGCCTTCACACCTGAAATGAATGAAAATGGGTGTGATGAAGATGAATCTACCATTTGTGATGATCCCATCTTGATGCTGACTAATTCCGAGTTTGTGAAAGTTAAAAACTCAACCGGAATAGCACCCGAGCTAGTACAGCGAGAAATGCGAGAGGATGCAGTCACAATTGAAGGGCAAATTCCCCGAAAACGCATGATCTCTATCCGAACCAAAAATCTGACAGAGAAACAAAAGCAGCAAATTCTGCTATCACTGAGTTGGAATCCCTCCAGAATAACTGAATCCTTGGACGCCTCACTCTATGCGACTTGTTTGGAACGCAAAAAACTTCTTTCTCAACCAAACGATTCCAAAATGCCATTATCCAAAAAGATTATTCCACCTAGTAGCGCTTACGTTAAACAATGGAGCCTTTCCGAAGAATCGGTTCATACGGTTGTTGAATTAAATCCTACCTACATGAAAGCCATTGAAACTGTCATATCACCGAGTGAGAGACTTATCACCTGCCTAAATAAGGTATCAAAGTCAAAGTTGTCAGCTTTTAATAAAGGGTCACTCTCTCCCGTGACGTCAATCAACGCTTGTTCAAAAACTTTACATTCATCCATTCAAAATGAAGCTTTCTCCACCAACGTCTCTGCTCATCCATTCAGATACAACTCTCATAGGTCTAGCAGAACCATTTTGCTATCAACGCAACCAATTTCCCTCACTTCAGTCTCGTCCTTTGAATCGGAGGAGCCAATACCCGGTGGTCGGATGAATGCAAACAGATGGTTGAAAGAAGAAGAAGAAGAAGAAGAAGAAGGAAGAGTTTTTGACAAGAGGACAACACTAATGGAAAATACAAATCCTTCACAGTGCGTAATACTAGGTGGAAATAAAGTTTTAGCTTGTCCGCAGAATTTTGTGGAAGTTTACTATGATGCCAGTCTGTGTATGACTCGTGCAGGACCAGTAAGGAGTCGAGATGTTTCGGCAGCAGTCAACGTTTTAATAGACCTAGATCAAAATACTTTTTCAGTGCCGGATCTGGATAGCTCTGTCGTCACCTCCGATGTGGACACTGTTACCCTAGAGCACGACTTCCAGAATGCTGGAAGTCAAAAATCGTATTTAAGGAAAAAGAAGAAGAAGAAGAAGTGTAAGAGATCGTATCAATCTCCCCAAGGCGATCGACAGAGACAGCATGCATCTATTAGTCCGACGCCTAGACAAAGGCACGGAAAAGTGGCCAAGAAGCCGTTTTTCAAGGTTCAAAAATCGCGGCAAAGAAAATATCAAGTTAATCGCTTACCCATGTTAAATTTGGATGGTATATCGCCCAAAAGGATTCCTCACATAAGCAAAGAGCATTCCAGCTCATCCACAGATACACTTCAGGGCTGTAGAAAGGTGACAGAAGCTTCAAAGGAGGTTCAGTGCTCCAAACCTTTGATTGAAAGACCTGCGGTGACTTTTCACTTCATATCACCCAGGAAAACACAAAGTGTATTGTTTGAAAAGCATCTTGCTCAAATCAAACGACCCTCATCATGGAATAGTACCATTTTCTCTGGTCCCAAAGGAGTTGTCATGAATGCTAAGCGAATTAAAAAGCGACAGGCGATGGCTTATGAGAAGAAGGTTCATCAGTTGTCCGTAGCACGAATCCTCAATGAAAACAACAATGCCTCAACCAGGATGGAATATCCGCGTGAATCCCGAAGGAGGAGTTGGGAATCAACACACTCACTTTATTCAAGTGGGATTCTCCTAAAACTAAAATTCTGGGGTCAGAATCGCGGCATAACATGTTGGAATTTTTTTCGACCCCATAAATGTCACAATGACGGTCAATTTGACCATAAGAGTGTGAAATTTGATAATTATGAAAAAATAAGGAAATTGAGAGCCTCCCAGACTAGCAGTTTGAAAGACAATTATTTAAAAAGTTTTCGGTGGAAATATCCAAACCAAAAGGCTTTGCTTCAACCATTACCTCTTTCGTTAGCGTCAGGATTGAAATATTTTACACAATTTGAAGAATTTTTCAACGCTTCTTACACACTCTCTTCACCGACTACACACGAGCGTGTTCAACCTGAGTCCATCGATGAGGCAGATCGAGAGAAAATTACTTTTACCTATTCCTCCGATTTTTGTCGAGTTGAGAGGTGTGAACTTCCACCAATCCCGACTTCAGACGTGTACAATTTTCTTTGCTTTCAAAAACAAGGTATTATTATTTCCAAATTGCCAAATGATGTAAAAATGAAGGCGGACACTTCCCCTCTGCATATCTTACTCGGATTTTTATGCTTTTTTGGTATTAAAAAAGCCTGGCAATTAAAAGTGCGATGGCTTTTAATCTTTCATCCACATTCAAACGCTCTGCGTCAACGAGGGCTTCACCATGACGAATGGACAACGGGGCGGAAGACAATCACATATTCTATTAATTTTGGTGTCATTTCCGAGAAACAAAAAGACATTACGGTGGTTGACTGAATCCTTCCATGTTTGTGTGTGCATGTGTGGTTCCAACTTGGTTTGATTTGCCTTTGGACACCTCATTTCGATGGGATTTGGTATATTAGTCTGGTTTCAGAAAATAATAATAGCAAATAATATTTTTAACAATAATTTAGTGTGCTAGATAGTGTAAAAGGCATATGAAATGGATTTAAGATAAATTTAGACGTCTACCTACTGTTAAATATAAAGGGTAAGATTTTCGCAGAAGCATCAAAAAGTAATCCATGCCGCTTTCGCCATTTGCAGTACACATCTGTCGACGTTTATAACGCCTTAAGCATCCGCTAAACTTAGTTTTGTGATGTCGCCTGGCAACTGGGTCAAATGTTTTTCGTCTGCTTGTCTGTCTGATCTCCAGGCTATGCCTATAAGCCTCAGATGCTCAAAAAAGTTTTTACGCTTCTCAATTGTATTGTATTGTATTGTCTAATGTTTTCCTTCGTTGGGAGAAAAGGAAGCAGAGGCTCCTTCATCCCTGACCTCTGCTCTGTCTTAACTAATATTCCCTAATGTGATAGCTGTCATCTTTACCATGACACGATCACACGAGCTCATGCGAAATGGACAGGTGGGGAATAAAGGTGAGGTAAAAGCGAGGTGGCTAGAGGTGGACATTCTCCAGACTTCTCGAGATAAAAAGGCACAATATACTTAAGTCTTGATTAATTAAATGAATATCGTATACCCCTGGAGATGTCCTAACAAGAGCTACCATAGTAAGTATTATCCCTGTTAGGTTCATCTTATATACACGGATCCAGGCAATATCTCGTTGTCACTCAGTCAACGATCTGGATTACTTCTAGTTACCTATTTTCACATCATCATTGCCAGTAGTTGAATAGGGACCTTTTTAGATGGTTCATATCTCGCGTGGTTACGTGACTGGTCCTTATGCTTGACCCGGGAGTAGGAGAATTGTCATAAATCCATGCAAGTCATCACAGACGCCATCATCGGGGATTTGATAGCTTCCCTCTAATGACAGCTTGGCATAGTATGCTACCGAGACAGACAATATCGCTACACCCGTATCGTCTCCGAAGCTGTTATGAGACTAAAGAGTATGAATGTGGCACTGCTGGTGGGAACAAACAGGGCTCCAAAAATGTAGGCAACTTGAAGTAAATTTGCTCTGCCGAAGTTGGTAATTTATTAATAATTTAAAATTCACCTTAAAAACAACTCCTCACGTTTAAAGATAGAAATGAAGGAAAGTTACTGTGTAAAATGCTCATTACTGAGTTCAGCCATTCAAAACCGAATAAAAAACGGCTCTACCCACTTTCCTTCTTGTCTGAAGGAAGATGGCGTAATTTAGTTTGTGACGTACAAAGTACGTATCACCGATATTCAAGACCTGGAGTAGAAATGTCAGGTGAACGGGTCCAACCGAATGAGATAAATCTCAATTAAGTGTCAATATTTGGTGTTAAATTTGGGCATTAGCAAGATGTATTGCAATGAGTTGTTTGTTTAACTCTCGGTTTTGGTAGTAGACGGCATGGATGATCCGTCACTGTTCCTTCGCCAGATGGCTGGCCAGTCGCCCCTTACCCTATTGTATATCGGTAGTATATATATTCTGTCCGAGTATTACGTCTCCAGTCGCCTTTACGAAAGTCTCGGAGAGATATATTGGTGGTAGCAGTAAGCCAACTCGGTCTTAAATGATACTAATCCTGATTTTTACTGCTGCGTGACTAACCTTAACTGGGCGGAAGAAGTGCGTTTGCTGCTGATGGGTGAATGTGTGATGACACCCAACAGAGGGCATAAAATGACATCATTTTTCAACAACTATCCCAGTCTCGTGTTTTGCAGAGAAGCTATTGGCAATTGAAGCGAAAATAGCCGTAAACCATCTAGAAAAGTTCGCTATGAAGCTGTCTTTTGTACCTTTTGTGAGCATACGATACCTCCTGCACGTCTTTACCAACTGTATGGATCCCAGAAAGTTATGGCTAGGCAGCTCTGGAGTGAGAGCACAAATACAAGGCGGAACTAGGCACGAAACCCCAATTCCACGGAACGATGTTAACTCCCCGTCCTTTGCCATATGAATCCATCTTTAGTCCAGTATTCCCAGAGGTAGCGATGGCCATGCGTGATGACCACCACATTTCCCCCTCCCTCAATCCAGTTCCCAACCAGAAAGAACCTCCAGATCCAATAGAATGGCCAGGAGGGAACAGTGGCATTGCGATTAGGTTTCTTCGCAGACGCATGGAAAGTCAATGACTAGCGCGGTTGGCTCGAGGGTGGTCCCTCACAGCACAGAACACGTCGTGATGGCTAGCGTGGGAGGTTGACCAAGAGGAGCCATGGGGACTACGCTCAAAAGATGAGGCGGGTTAAGCAACACACTGGTTGTTAAACGTCCGGTTTTTACAATGCGTCATGCAGTGGCTCCGCCGTTGTGCATTCACCAGATGGCCTGGCCTCCGGACAATGTCAGCAGCCTTAAGCGGGAATTGTCCTCTTGCGTTTCCAGTAAAGGTCCAGAGCCCTACAATTAGTCGCTTTCCTTAAAACTTATAATATTTATTTCTAATATATCATTTGGTTTATTTTTCTAACTTACTTGAACTCTTTAAGGTTACTTACTCATAAGTATAAAGCAAACGATTTTGAAACTTACCGTTCTTTATTACTTAATGCAAGCACAAATGAATGAACAATAAAGGGGAAGCGCAGGTAAATAGCTTGCAAAAACAAAAGAAAAGCGGTGAAAGAGACTCAGTGTTCTTAGGCGGTATCCACTTTAGCCTGTAATAAATGCAGAATGCTTGGATGTTTAGCAATATAAACACGAGGTGGGAAAGTGATGACCATGTTCCACCTATCACGTGACAAGTGGATTGATTTTCATTTTTAAGTGACTGAGACTCTTTAGAGGTGTCAGTGCGTGCAAGTCTTCTTCCAACCACAGGATTAATGACAGAGGAAATCTCCAGTGATTAGTTTTTTTTACAACAATAAATACTTAAAAAGAGCATTGTCAAAAAATGAGGAAGCTAGTTACTTTTACCAGGATCCAAGTAAATCAGTATGTGACAGCAACCGAAACTTCGAGCAGCGTCTTTGAGGAAAGCAACGGGAAGGACAATGGGAGATTTGAGGAGTGTAAAACTGTTGAAAAGGGTAACAAAAGTTTTTAGTGGGCGCAATTGCAATGATAAATGGAAAGGCCACTAGGGTCGGGCCAAACTCGACTTACAATGGCACTGGCGAGGGGATCGGTATGGGTGATATCAATGCTGTCTTGAAAAGTGTTAAGACACGCAACACAAAACTTACGTCCAGATCACATTTAAAAGCACTGAAGAAAATACGACTAATACTTGAAGATCTCACTAAGGCCCTATTTAAAAGGGTGGCGATATGGTCCTGCAAGCAATTAACCCAATGGAAAACGTGTTTAAATGCTCCGCAGAACATCACAGAATATTTAAAGTCTAGTGGACAGAATAGGGGAGATTGGAAGATTTCATATTTTATGGTCAATGTACCTCTTCATGCTGAAATCGTCCAATGCATCAATGAAGGTCTCCTGTCTGATAACGATTCAGATGGCGAGCTGTCAAATCCGGATTCAAAGTCGATGCTTCATTATTCAGTTGCCAAGAGAGATATTGGTCACTCTTCCACGGTTGTATCAAAAACTTCAAAGCAAATTATGAATACTCGTGTAATTGCAAATGTGCAATCTTATGGCAAGAACCAGCATGGAGCAGTAGATGAAGTTGAAATTAACCACTCCAATTCATCACGATGCGGTTGCAACCGATCCTTCACCGCTGTTTCCCACGTCCAAGGACCTAGCTCAGGACGTTCTGATAACTGTGGCACTTGGGGACAGATGTGTTCCGATCCCGGCAGAATGGCTAACAGTGGTGGGGGATGCAGTTCAGGGGGGCAGAACGCAACCAAGTGCCCGTCTAGTTGCCCTATAAAATCTGTAAATGACATTTCCAAGGAGACGGATATAAACAAAATTGCGGCGTCATGTATTCGCAGATATACGCTGGAAGAGTCTAAAGCGTTGGCAACATCTTCACCCATGTACAGGCCAAATCCTTGCTCTCCCACGCAAAAATCGTGCGATAACATGAAACCTACTGCCTCCTGCCCAGGAGAACAGATGTCTACTACTCCTAAGATGCCAGGAAAGAAGGTTGAAGGACAAGCAGAGCTTTCTCTAAAACCTCTGTCATCACCAAAATGCAGACAAAATTACTCGAGGATGCGACAGAACGAGTCTGTTACGGCAGATTCATCAGACGGACAATGTCGAAGGGGATTACAGAGTTCTTCAATGTGTCGTCCCACTAAACCACAAAATGATAAATGTATGAGAAATTCCACGGAATCTTTCGATGATTTCAAATCTTTTTGCAATCCCGGCTACTCACAGCCTAGTCCACCAACAAACATGCAGAGAAATCCTGCTAACCGAAAATCTGGTAGACACAGTCCATGTCGCATTGCGATAACTGGATGTGAACGTCCTGTCTTGCCGTCCTATTGTCCACCTAGGATTTCTAATCCTGAAATTGACTCAAGAGACAGGTTCAGTCGTAGACGAACTGATTATGGTGTTTGTGGGGACATGAGCAAATCGACCTCGAGATTTCTTAACACTGGAGAAGATGGAGAATGTGGTGGTTCATCACAACGCTTAACAGGCGGAGAAAAGATGAATAGAGATTGTTGTCAGCAGTCGTCGCGTTATCCTATATCGCCTTCTCCCAAATGGAACAATACTACAGCTAAAGATGTCTCTTGCGATTGCCTAAAGGGCAATCGTCCTCAAGATTCCCGCAACGAGGACCAGGAATTACGTTACGGTGATGATAGCTGTCAAAAGAACCCTGGGGGGTATTCCTTCAAGATCAAATATACCGAGGTGGAAGAGGCAGATTCACCATCTACACCCGATGCGTCTGACGATGACTGTTTGGGCAAACCTAATCAGCTACAAGTAAGAGATCGTAATCGTCATTCACCTAACGAGTGCTCATGTAAATCGCCTTGTAAGACCCCGAGCAATTCGCAGCACGCTAGTTGTAAGTATTCAGTAGAGGACTACAGTCGCGACGACGATGAAGTAGGCTATCAAGGCTGTGAAAACTTTGATGGTGATACTGGAGCTTGTCCTGACGACTACTATGGCAACGATTCAAGTGTTCCACCATTTCTTCAAGATGAAAGTAGTTGTGGAAGAATTCGGGCTTCAAAACATACATATGAAGATCCCTCCGCCATTATGATGCAGCGTTATCAACAAAATTACATGTCTTGTTCTCCAGACTTCGCGGAATTTTCCCGCAGTCCACATCAGCCACAGCAGCGGTACATGGAGGAAAATAGAGGCTGCATGCATCAGATGTGGTCAGACATGGAACGTTCACCAAATTGGCACGGGAACACGAAAAATTCTGAACGTGCAAGGTGCATGTCTCGAGCGCATTCTGAAGAGTGTCCATCACCCTACCCAGTTTGCAAAAAGTCCTGCGGAATTCGTCGGAAACGTAGTCGCAAGAGATGTGTGTCCCGACGCCAGCCCACACAGAAATGCTCAGGCAGACCGCGGAAAGTAGTCAAATTGTCCCGCAGAGCGTCAATGGAGTTAGAGCGTCGATATGCCGCTCAGGTGCCCAGGAGCGAATCCAGTTTGGCTTGCGAAGCCGCCAGAAACAAACGACGTTACTCACCGCCTGATAGTTGTCGTGAAGACGCTATAGTGTCCGGAGAGAATAAAAAGTGTCTTTGTAGGTCATCATCGAGATGTGTAATGGTGAATCCATGCTATCGTAACAATCGTGCTGCTCTTTTGAGACGGAAGTTCAATGCAGCGAAAATAGAAGAGGAAGGTGACCCCTGTTGTTGTGTAATGCTCTTTCGATCCACTCCAGTGCAGGGAAATGACTTCAGTCCAGGTCAATTCTCTGAATCTTGTGAAGAGAGGGAAGGAGGAGCCTTCAATTGTTGCATGAACGGGGAGCAGGTGGAGAGAGATCCATGCCGTAAACCCAAATCTCCCTGTTCCAGAAGTCCGATTCCCTTGAATGGCTGTCAACCTAGAGAACGTGATACAGAGGCAAAAAAAAATTCCTGTCGAAGTAATACTCCCTGTCTTAACATCGACTTAAAGGGAAAAAAAATTATGCTCAGAAAATTTGAAAACACAACAAACTGCGCCAGTTCTGAGTTAACGCTACCAGAAAATATGTGCGGAAAAAACTCCGCCAACAATGACATTTCCATAGCCTTGGGTGATAAAACCATCATCATCAAGAATCCCGACTCCAACGATCAAGTTTGCTTTGAGTCAAAATACGGGCAATGGGCCCCAGATTCCTGCAGCCAATCAGGATCAAGTTGTGTGGATAGCGTGGTGTCCAGACACATGGGTTGCACTAAACAACATCGTCAGAAATCTCCATGCAAGCGAAAGTGCGGATCCGCAGCGGTTCGAAAGCGGAGCACTCCGCTCAAGACTTGCTCTCTGAGGGAGACGTCGACATGCGAACGCTCCGCAGGTATTAAACCTTCTGTTTGCCAACCTTCAGTGTGCGTTGCTCTCGATTTCGTCCCTGATGTCCAAGAACCCCCTCCAAAAGAGCCTCTAAATAAATTATGTACTCCAACGAAAAGTATCCAAACAAAAAAAAGCCCTGGATTCTGCCCCTGCACGCAAATCTCCAACGGTGCGATGCCTTGCAGTAAACGCCCTACTAAAGTAAATTCGCCACCTGCTTCTTCCCCACAATCGGGTAGTCTTAGGACCACTCCAATACGCCAATGGAACACACCCCCGACCTGCCACCCAGGTTCTGTAGGAAATTCAAACTCTAGATCGAAAAGTCCCGGTGGCTACAACAGTACCCCTTGTTATCAACCCTACAGAGCCACCGCACAGAACGCGTCGGCTGATGGAGGCCAACGGGGTGGCTGCAAACCATCTGGTTGCTCAAAAGTGAGTGAGGCGAGTGGCGAGCCTTCCAAAAAGACTGCACCAACACAGACAACCAAGGAGGAAGAAAGCAAGGAAGGTGATAAGAAGGAGAAGTGCACTCAATGTGCCAAAAAAAGGAGTTTCTTCGCGAGGATGTGCGACAAATTTAAGAAAAAGTGTGCCAAAGCGAATGCACAAAATCAGACTGATGAGGAGGTGAAGGATGATGACAGTGATGATACTGATACAGGAGATGGATCTAAGTGCATGCCCGTGAATGACACGACTTCTTGTTCCTTGCGCTTCAATGAAACACGTTCATATAACTGTTCTGCATGCTCCACGTCTCGATGTGTTTCTAATCAAAGTCATTCCTTCATGGATTTCACTGATGATCCCACAACGAACTTGCAACTTACCATGCGTAGCTGGAACAATACAGCAAGTGAACCGCATTCGGGGGTCCCTGCATTTGTGCAACACCCCCTCATAAATTCAAGAGGCTGGTGCAAGAGTGAAAGAGTATACCATAAAACAGGACGGCGGCAATGTAGGGCAGACTACAGGATGAGAACTTGCCCCACTGGTATGTGGCAAAATAACTTGTGCGCAAGATCACATTCATTTGCGCCTGACATGTCTGTAAAGTGTTGCAGTGTTGATTCGAAGGCGCTGGTAACAAAATGCCTTTGCAAAGAGGTGAATTTAGGTGTACCATCATGTAAAAAACCTACAATGCGAATACGGAAAGAAAGAAACTTCAAACTAAATGGAGTGTGTTTCTGTTCAAAGTACGGATACCCCAACAAGGGTTATTATTTCCCATTGTTAGCATTCGGTCACTCCATTGAGGACAATTCTGATCAGGTAATAGGCCCTAAAAGATTGAGAAATTATCACAGATTCGCACAATGTCCATGCTATAGGTCCTACATTAGGCAGTTCCCTTACCATGGAGGTAAAGTGAGTCCCGAACGTGGTGATAGGGATTATGAAAAGGAAGATCGAATGAAGGCAATTGAGAAAAGCAAAAATAGCAACAACTTTTCCAGTGGAATGAATGAATTTGATTGTTGTGCCAAATCAATGGGAAATGGAGGTCCTACTACCGAAGGAGGAAAGACTGCAAGTTCACAATGTTTTACTCGGAACTCATCATCACATTTTTTGCACGAGCCTACAATAAAACCACCTCATCAGGGCTCTGCTTCGACGAAAAATACGTGTGATGACCTAAAACGCTTAGACAGGCCGCTGTTCCAGACAATTAATCGACCATGCTACGAAGTTCTGGCACTGTTCAAACGTCCCCTGGCCAAAAATCATAAAAACGAGTTGATGATACATGAACCACAGAAGTCAAAATATCTGGATTCACATTACCAGCCAGCGTTAAGAAAGGTAAGAACTGATCCATCTACAGTAAAATCAAAGAATGTGAACACTTCTAGTCGCTGGCCTAGAATATCCACACCATATAAAAAGGGCTCTCACACCTTACCGAACGGTCGCACTATAGAAAACCTGGGAGAAGTTGACAACCGTAGGTTTAGTGCCACTAAATCGACTGATGAATTTACTTGCAGTCGGGTTGAAAGTGCCTTATTGAGTCCGTTAAACAAAACCTGTGGATATGTTGAAGTTCGCCCCATCTGTAAACAACCAGTTGTGATAAAGTCTTCTGTGAAGAGTAAATCCGGTCTGGATGTTCCTTTCTATGCAAAAAACTGGTCACAATCGATGCCCAAATTTCAGCCATCTCCAGTTCGGTCTTCCTCGTTTATGATGCCATATGGAAATACGCTGTCTGCTAAACCAGCATTTCTTCCCAGAAATAGCGCTCCATCATTGCAAACGAGGCGATCCTACGGCCAGGTCCCGCCGTCCATCTGTTCGAAAGCCTCCTTCAACAATATGTGCCCACACCATTGTAGGGTGTCTTTTGATTCAAAGCCTGTGAATCCTCCATATGAGAGCATGGGTTGTGGAAACTACCCTAGGGGTGCAAACTACCCAACTGGATTTTCAAAAATGTCAGAACGTATCATGCCACCAGTTCCATGCCAACGAGCTTACTCTCTTGAAATTGCGAAGATGCATAACGGACCCACTGAGGTGAATAAGTTGAAATCAGCAGTAGTTCCAAAAGGGAAAGATCAAGTTCCAAAACCATGGCAGGGATCTGAAAAGGCTTCAGCGATCAAAGTCCCCGAAGCTTCCTTAACTCCACGTGTCATGAATGCGTCCCCTTTGCGGAGTTCATCGAATTCCTTTGGGTTCCCATCACCCCACGAAAATGCCAAGATTCAGTCGATCAAAGCAGTAATACAGGCGCCTAAGATGCCAAAATACACGTTTGCTCGGTGCCAAAATGATAGATTACTGCCCGATTCGAGATTCGCCGTAATATCCCCTTCACTACACCACAAAGCATCAATTATGACTAATGGGTACGAGGCCAATGAGAACACAGAAGTCGAGCCTTTAACTCCCATGGGTCAAAAGAAGGGGGAAAAAATCCCATTACAGTATTCTTTTCAAGTGGAAGGGAGAAGAATTCACGTGAAGGTTGACAAAGAGGGTGTATTTCATGTGCAGGAGGTGGGGAAACCACCTTCACCACCGCCATCTGTTAACGTCGTCAAAAGTGGTGAGAAATTGAGGCCCAACACAAATGGTGTTAACGGCGAGCGATCGACAAGTCTGGGCTCTTCAATAAAGGCAACAGATAAGGCGAGGGAGATCCAGTCCCAGCCCTCTTCAAGTGCACAGCTTGAATCTGAATCCAGTGGGAAATCCATAGGAGTTAATGGTACCCCCAATAAGTGCTCTATATCTCGTTCGAAGAATTCTCCCATTCATGAGATCCTGAGACGTTCTATCAGGTCGTTAAGTGGAAAACTTACACCAAGATTTTCCTGTCAGGCGAATCAACAGATGGGCAATAGCCATACCGTAATAGAGGAGGAAAAAATGTCCGGAAGCGATTGTGAATTTTGGGTGCCACTCACAGCATCGGAGATTCCCTTTCAAACGGATTCTAAGAGGATTACCTCCAAAATCTTCTCGACTAACAGTCAACTGAAAATGCACAACACGAGTGAAGAGTCGATGATTCCGTGTAACCAGAATGACCATCAAGCGATCCTCGATCACTGCAGAGGCACACGTCGTCGGACTTCCACAACTAGTAGTCAAATGCTGTTTCGAGGTGTTGGTACAGCTGTAGGAAGCAGTTATACTGATGCTCTACCTATTGTTTCGTCAACCAAGTCACACAGAAGTAAGAAGAAGAAGCGAGTCTATGCCAATGCGGAGTCAGAGAATGTCAACAAGCCAGTTTCGTACACTCATTACTCCAATTACAAATCCGGTGATTGTGTTCAGAAGAGAGGTAGCTGGGCAGATGAACGTGACTGTATTGTGGAAGATTTTGACTCCTACCCCAAAACCAAGAACTCAACTCTTTTCACCTATGACTGTCAATCGGACAGTGAAACATCCATAGGGATTTCCGCCTCTATGAACATGGGCAAGCAGTTGCGGCTTCAAGCTGGTTACATGGACAGCGCTAAGCCCGCTACCCCATATCACCATTTTAGCCTCTTAGGTTTTTCAGGGGGCGAGGAAGATTCAACTCGCCCCCATGTAGAAAAACAACATGCGCCTATTATTCGATCTAATTCTGCACCTCTTTTTCTAAGGAAAAAAACTTTATCAAACCACCTTTTTTCAAATCAGGGGACCCCTGAACCAGCATTGTCAAATTCCGACACGGATAATATCATGGAAACCCCCTTCAATGAGGATTATTGTGACTTGCAAGAGGGGACAGAAGCACAGGCACAAGCTGACTTGACTAATCGCAATAACTCTGCTCGAGAAGAGGGTAGAATCACCACTAGAAAAGTCTCCAACCGAAAAATTTACAGTGAAGAATTTCTGCAGCAATGCTCCAATTTTTCCAACCAAAACAACTACTTCAAGTCCCATCATGAGCAAGTGACTCATCCACAACTGACTACCCTACGGTCACCGCGTTTATTACCTCCCCTAAATGACTCGCTCGTCTGCGGGGATGTCAAAAAAATTGTTTCAGTGGGGAGTCAACTAAGCAATGAAAAAGAAAAGAATGTAACCATGTTTCCAGTGGAGATCGACAAAGACGACACATCGTTGAGGAATGATGGTAACTCTACCGAATCAGTAAAGGAGAAGAGTAGTGATTCCGAAACTGAAGATCCATCACCTATGAGTACAACATTAACACTACTGCTAGAAGGACTTTGTGGCACCGGTGGAGGTGCAATGGATTCCCGTGTGTCCACTCGGAGTGAACCTCAGCGATTCAACACAAAATGCAAAAAACGTCCATGCGTGAACGAGAATGTGCGGTGTGCCTCAAAACCTACAACTAATGGGCAGAATAAAGGTGAGGGAAAGAGAGTCGAGACCAGTGCCCACAACTGCTTGAAATTTAAGGAAAATAAGTCTTTTCTTCTCCGTAAGAGGCAAAACTGCAATCACACAAGCGTTAGATGCATGGCCTGCTTGAAGAAACAACAAAAGCAGACTCTTGCTAAGCCTGAAATCCACTTCTTTGCCAAAGGCATTTTGAAACATCCATTCCGAAAAGCACGTAGAAAAGACAAGCGTTCACCGAAGGATACAATCTTCAAGAAGAGTTCTAAAGGTTCACCCCGGTCTGAGACAAAGAAGCGTCGTCGAGGTCATTTAACAAAGCCTAGTGGAGACCGCTGTTGTTGCGCCAGTTTATCGAGGCGTTGGAGATCATCGAGTCGACACAAAACACGGTCTCACGCTTCCTCCTGTTGCAATCGAATGGCCTCATTCGGAATCGACACTGATGGATATGGACCTAATACCTCGACTGAATGCTATACATTTCAATTAGTTGAACCGTCAGTGAGTATTGAACAACCCAGTCCTGACTTTAGCAGGTGCAAATATGATCCATTGATGCATCAGAGTAGGCTATTTAGACAGTGCTCAGACGTGTCTGTGGCTCCCAGAAGCGCATCTCTCAGTCAATACAGTCGAAAACACTTCGTTTCCGCGTCCTCTCCCAAATCAAGAAGTGTAAGCATGCCAACGGCCGAGGAGAATGAAGATGATGGCGAAGTAGAAAACTCTACCAAATTTGGCAAACCTAATTTTATATTCCCACCACCCTATAACACTTCTCATGCCCCTGGAAAATTATCCCTCAATTCCAGCAGCAAGACAGGAGAGTGTCAAAGCTTGATGGGCGATTGTATGGCGAATAGGCAGTCTTCGTGTCTGAAAATGAAGACCGCGTTGCCAATTTGGGATGTGAAGGCCTCGACACCGCCTCTGCTGATGGTGCCGTCGTCCAGATCTCAATCCGATGAATCGTCTTTCGTCTCCTCACCTATCACTTCGTTGAATACGTCAGAAGCTGAGGTGTAGCTCCGGAGTCAGAAACCACTGTTCACCTCTGCACACAATGGATGTAAAAGACCGGCGATGGAGGCTCTGCGGATGCCGAGAGTAGCAAGTCAAACAAAAATCCACTATGAAAACTAATTTGCCAGTAGCCGCTGCGATTTTGAATCGTCTGAATGGGTTGCGAACACAAATCAACAGCAAAAAATTCTACCTCGATTTGGGAGCATAAAACGCGAATTTGAAGCACAAAAAGAGGGAAACGCCACAGCAACACTGGACATTGATACAAAGATGCTCAAGCAAAGCCACTGGAATAATTCAGATCCATTCTACTCAATCCTGCTTTTGTTGTTGGGCGCGCACGACCTCTGAGACACTACTTGCAAGCTCCAAGCTCAAGAGAATGAGGACGTAGGCGAATGACAAAAATGTTCTTTCTCCCCGCCATGCACAGAGATGCTGACATCAATCACACCAACCTTCATCAGTTTGCCTCCTTTGATTTGGAAATTATAAATCACTTGTCTATCTTTGTCAGTTACTGACCCTCTATTAAATTGAGTTTTTTTTATCATTTGCCTTGTCCATGACATTAACACACATGCCAGAACGATCGAGGCTACTCACCAAACGAATAGGCTACCTAGTTGTCTAATTCACCCCTGACAGGCCACCTGAAACGCGAGGATCTACCTTTTTTTATTTAACCTGTGATGACAAATTAGATAGGTGCAGTAACACACCTTAGCCAGTTGACGTCTATTGACATTTACTTTGGGCCTAGTTGACGAACGAAAGCAGCGCCGATAAAAAAAGGCCCGTTTACGAAAACACACGGACGCTACCAGGGCCATCATCAAAGCGTGGCACGACTGAGATGAAACGCAACAGCACCTCATGCAAATAAAACAGATGCAAACCCAGTGATCCTCCAAAAAGCGGCAACTACGGTCGGAGCGTCCACATCCCCGATAAGACAGGCCAATGTGGAGTGCCACATCGTGGAGTCCCGAGCCAGCAGTGTGGAGAGACGACTACGACAAATTCACCTGAGACACGACCTTACGCAGCGAGACGGTTTACGAGCCCGCAAACCAACTGGCCGATATCGTCCGCTGAGTCAGCCCAAGGCCCTGTAAAACAAGCCAATGACTGAGACCGAGGCAACTCCAAATTTGCCACTTCGCACTGAATTCGCAAACCAAATCATTCCAACTGACAACAGTAGGACCACCGTGGCCTACCTCAAACTGGCGCCCGTGGCACTCACGGACGTTGCCCAGGGAATGCAAGAAGCCGACCCGGCATGTGTTACCAACCCACGTAGGACTAATGGAGAGAAAATGTGCACCAACGCTGGCATCTTTACTTTTTAAACATTGTCTCGTTGCGGAATTCTTGTTTCTAGAAAAATCAGTGGATGGGGTATAAATCTCGCAGCACAGAGACATGCCAAGACACTTGCGCATACACGCAGATGCGCTGTGCTCACACATACAAAAAGAGGTGGAGTGACACTTGACAAAGGGAGGTGACAGATTTGGGAGAGCAGAAAGGGGTTACAGATGAGGAGGTTGGTCACCACCACGGTCGTCCACGGTGTTGAGTGTAGGGCGTAGATACGCAAACACAGAGATGAATTTATGCCGGAAAGTAGACATTTTCCCAACATACATCACGTTGAAAATAATGAGGTGATAATGAGGGGCTAGGGCAGAGGGGATAAATTGCAAGTGGATATGGGGGATGGAGGACGAAAGAGGAAATCTAACTGAGACATTCAATAACAGCTTGTTTTTCCTTTTCCGGTAGCTGTGCCATACAGGCTTCATAGACCACCGAATTAGCCTGAAAGGACGTTAAAATCATCGAAAGAGATCATCATCAAAGGAATTAGCACAATTAAAAAAGGCAACGAACCTGAATGAGCCGAAGGATGGAAACACAGCGATCGTAGACGGAAGGGGTTCCAGGAGTGGATTTTGCGCCGTTCACCTGCTTATCCCCGGCTCCACTGGCGGCCGAAGCACTAGCACTTCCCTCCTCCTCATCAGGGCGAAAGAGACTCTTTTCCGAGAAGACACGTGCGATGGCAGCGACAATACGCGGCAGATTGGTGTTGGTGGGTCCACCAAGAACGGCTGAGTTGTTGGCTTCCACGAGATCACACAGGTATCCGTAGACGTGATCGGTTTCCTCACCGTCTTCCCAAATCGGCAGCCACGTGAGCCAACGCACAATCAGCGCATTCAGGTCCGTTAGCCCGGCCGGGATCAGACACTCCGTACGGTACTTCATTATCTACATGTATAAAAACAATTAAGATAAATATCGCGGGAAAGATTGAAGTAAGGGCTATAGGAAAAAGCATTCCAACGAGACAAGCAACAAAGGCTTGAGACGTCGCAAGGGAGAATACCCAAATGCCAATATCAAAAAAGCCTGACATATTAATAACTTTCGAAAGTAGAAAAAAGACAGTAATTCCGTCGTTTGATTATTAGCAAGTAATGCGTGCAAATTCAAAAGCGCTTAAGTGAATAAGCCACGCGTATTTACACTCACGTGCATGTAATGTGGGAGTCCAATGGCAAAGACAGATGCCGCACGCCAATCTAAACAAGTCACATTCGCATTTATCAGGGAACCCAAATTGCACAATGCTCTCGACTCTACTAACCTTATTTTTGTAAACCTCGGTCACTTGTTGAGTTAACATTCTTCTGGTTCGATCACAAAAGTATGAAATTATCTAGTTAAGCTTAGCCACCTGAATGGAGATGACTGACCACCCTACACGCGAATAATCACACGCATTTGTCGGGTGGTTGGCGTGAACAGGATACTGAAAACAATAGAGCCGCCTCTTCACGCTCTCTAAAGTACACAAACGCTGCCTAGCTGTCGGCCAAAATTCAGCTATTAAACCAGTTAGCTACTCACAACTATTTCACAATGCATAGTAAATCGGGTCTAAAAATTCCGTTGATCCACCTTTGTCATAGAGGACACCGCGTTTTCTCGGCACAAATTGTTTTCATCGCTGGCAGAGTCGGGTGATTCGATGATCTGCATCAGCGGTGGCACGAAATCTGTCAAAGTTGCAGTGTAATCAGGTCCGCCGTACATGGCCATCACACCAATACCATAGATAGCCATCTGTCTGATGTCATTCTGCCGGTGCATGATTGCCCTCGCGAAAGCCGGGATGAAGAAATCTTTCATGCTAAAGGACTGGGGGCCGGCGTGTTCAATTAAATCGGCGCAGAAGCAAAGACCCCACTGCATATCTGACCATGGACGATTGGGCTCCTACAATGTATTTCAAGCACTGTTAGTTAATTACGGGAAGGAAAACCGTGACTGATTCAATTCACCAATTAAACTAAATAGAGTAAAAGTGGGTTAATTACGGCGAAGTTAATAGTGTGTTCTTACGCCCACGACATAACTAAATGTGGGTGATTTAAAAATTAACCTACGAGAAGTTTCACAACGTGAACCATGAGCTGCTGGAAAAGGGGAAGGGCGTCTGTCTTGTAGGTTGAAAAGATTGCCCGCATAACTTCGCACATCTTGGAGAGAACATACTCGTCCTCGTCCTTTTCGTTTAGGATCCTCTCCTCCTCCTGTTCATCGTAATCCTCGTCCTACATGCAACAGACCATGGGAGTTTAAGACGAAATCAACCCCTCGGCATATAATTCTTATGAATTGACATGAACCTAATGAGGTTTTTTCGTTTTTTCGCAGTCCTCGTGGCGAAATTAGTTTTAGTGATATGAGATAAAATGTCATAAACGGTTCAAGTATCAGGGAGCAAATTCACGATGAGAAACATAAAACTTAAGCAATGAGCATTACGACAAGCAAGCTTTTAATCGTAAATGGGAAGTAAAACCGGTTGTTCTGGGCTGCTAAATGAAGATCTATCAACCTGGGAAGTGTTTTTTCATGAAAATAGATGAAGACTTGTTTTAAATGAACACCAAAAAGCGTGGTTTGAGTCAACATTGAAAATTTTGGTCATATTTAGCAGAGGTACTAACCTGTCGCTTGGCAGCTCGTTCTTCGTCCTTTTCGAAATGTTCATGGAAGAAACGGTCGAGAAGCCGATGGATCTCAGTCATGCGTTCATAGTTGAGATAACCGACACCAAGACGCTCGATACAACTTGCAAGAGCCTCCAAATGGTCAGCAACCAAGTCACGCTCGGGTTCTGTGGAAATGGCCTCCATAAGTTTGGTGAACACCTTATCCCAAGCACTAGCCACAATATCTGGCCGCGTCTTTTTCATACTGTCCATCAAATAGGGCATTATTTCGGACGCCGCGCTACGGATCTAAGGCATTAACATTGGTAAAGAAACAAGTTGATTCATTTAATGGCGGATAGCGAGACAAGTAAAGTACATGTTTATGAAAATAATTGCTATTAGGCCTAAACTAACCAGAACTCAGCCAATACACGAACTGATATGCTTTATGTGACGAATGAAGAGAACTAAAAATAGATTACTTACAAATAATAACCACTTTACAACCGTGATCATTTCAGGTGGTATAGCACGCATACCTCATCATTGAGACATAAATTCAGCATCGGCAGCATAGTGTTGAGAACGTCTTCGCAGTAGGGTGCAAAGCTCTCTTTCAGCTCTCGAGCGTAGCACACAAGCATCTGGCAAGCAGTCGCCTTGTCTTCAAGAATACTAGTTCTTATGGCACAGTTTTGATCCTCACCGATAGATAGGATCTGCCAAGATTCGGGATCAAAGCTCTCCGCTTCCTCGTTATCAAGAACACAAACTTTGGGAGCCATTCGTGCTGTCCTCAAAACCTGTGGCATAACCATAGGGAGGAAGGGTTCGAAAGAGCGACCAAGGAGTTTGCAGATACGCGCCCACGCGGTGATGATATAGTTTACTTGCGGGTCATCATCATCAAACTGCTCATCTGCTGAAGCGTCCCCAGTTCCTTCTGCCGCAGTGCCCACCTGGGTCTTCATGAAGAGGGACATAATTGAACTGGCATCTTGCATGAACTTTTCCTTCCCCACTGCCAGCACAATCAAACTGATGCATTCAATTGTTTTGCCGCGTAGAAGTCGCAAATCTGGGTGAACTGCGTTCTCCATTATGTACTTTAGACCGGGCATGAAGCTGAAACAACAGCGTGTTGTGAACAGTCCCGTGATTTCGCAAAAAATTAACCCACTGCTTTTGAAATGAAGTAGAAATGAATAATGAGAACCGGACTTACCGATCGTAGTACGGAGCGAAATTCTCACCAGCAGCGTCAGCCACAGCGGCAATTGAAGTGACGGTTTGCAAGAGAACGAGTTTGTGCCCTTTTTCAACCATTTCCTGGAACTTAGCCGTCATCACCTCCTCCAACTTCTTCACGAGGTCATCCAGATACTGAATTAGCATACCCTAAGAAGGGGAGTCGGAGAAAACTAGTGTTCAAATTTTAGCATGAAGAGTGAAACGATGGGATAGCTTAGACAAACTTACCTTGTGTGATGTTTCACAGCAGTTTACAAGTGCAGCACCAGCATTTGCCTGTACACGGGGAACTTCATCATCAAGAACGTGGAGAATGGCGGGAATAATCGCCGAATGATAATTCTTATGCAGTTTCGGTCCAAAATCAGCAGCCATTTGACCAATCGCATTGCAAGCTGCATAGCGCACACGTGGATGCGGGTCTGCCATACGCGGAACGACTGCCTGAATGATTGAGCCCAGCATTCCCTCCATTTGCTTATGACATCCCTCACCACAAGCTGAGACGGCCATCAGACCAGCATGGCGCTTCTTCCAATCAGCTGTGGAAGAAAATTCGGGAGTTTAGATGAGAAGGGAGAGTACTGGAAATGAAATTAAGTAACTCACGATCTTGCAGCATGACTGGCACAGTTTGAGTGATCTCATCCAATACGGCCTGAGAACCCATGGCGCACGCGAAACGATCCAGAGCCATTTCAGCGGTAATTGCATTGCTATCCTCCTCATCCTCTTCTGGAGAATCCGCGGTAGCCCAATCAAGATCCTCCTCCAACTCTGTCATCATCTGCAACAGTGTCCTGACAAGCGGTTTTATCATATCCTTGCCAGCTTTGCGTACACTGGAGGGAATATTCTCGGATAGGGTTACTATCACCTCCAAGGCGATATGACGTATTGGATCAGCCAAATCGTTGTTGCAAAGCACCTGTTGATAAAAATGTTTAATGAATCACTTTAAGCATTTTCTTTATACAGGTAAAGGGCGAAGTTACCTTGTAGCACAATTCCAGTGTAGGCAGGAGGAAGGGGCGGAGGTATTTAGGCGCTGCATCGGCCATTTCTGCCAGACATTTCAACATTGTGTCGTCTTCGGAGTCGGATTCAAGGTTAGCAGCAACTGCCTGCAAGCGTAAATTAAGGCATTAACGTTCATTTACCCAGAACACTAACAAAGCTAAGTGTGCATTTCCCCAGAAAGTTTTAACAGCTACGCGTAACAACGCAGCCAGACACACTTTTCACAAATGCAACTACGACAAATGTCCTTTTCCACTCCTAAAAAGTGGCACAAAGTGTCCAAACGTACTTATCTAATTGAAATGGAAATTACCATAAGAGCGGGTTCGACGAGATCTTTAAGGGCGTGTTGGATAGAGTTTTCGGTGGAATTCTGCACAAGAAATGCAGATAGAGCACGGAAGCCGGCTTCACGGACATTGGGAGAAGCATCATGTAGAGCCTGGTTGAGCATATGACCAATGTCTGGCATCAGAGGAGTGGGGTCAGGGCCGAATACGGCGGGTACGATCGCAAAGAGATGACAAGCAACTTCACGAAGGCCCGGATCAGACGACTTGAAACATTCAAAAATAAATGGCTGGAATTCAGTCCATTGGCAAACATTGTCATCACCTATTAGGTAGAGGAAAATTCATATACCCATTTACCAGCACTGAAGAGCAAAGCACCCACACAAATAAGTTACCGAAATGTTCTCGAACCAGTTCAGCTGCAACGTCAGCTATTTTTCGACGCATCAATTCCACCGGTTCGTTAACGATCGACACAAGGAGCTGCTGCCTGATTCCATTCTTAGTTTCTTCCGGAAGAGAACCAAAAGCTTCCTCACAGTCTCCCATTAAAAGACGGCGACAAAGAACAGCGGCCAAAGTCCGTGGCTTAAAAAACAAGACAAAAACTCTTTAAAAATAAGCGGTCACAACGGAACAGGGTACAAGTAGTCAAAGAAGCCAAGTTATCTACTCACGACAGGTGCTAAGGTAGTATCGGTCATGGATTGAAGGAAAAGACTGAGCCGATCCGTGGCGGGAATACCGCCAAGGGTGTTTTCAGCCTCAGTTCGAATATCATGATCAGGGCTTTGAAGGCGCTCCAACAGATTTTTGAAAGATGCCAGATCCATTTTGACTGATGGTGATTCTTCTTTTCAAACCGAGAAAATAACAAAGAATTGAGGACGTAGGTTCACTTGACGGAAATTGAGGCAAAAAAGTCATAACAACTAACAAATACCAGCCTTACAAAAAACAAGGTAAACATCAGTGCCTACAAGCATGGACAATTAAACCTTGTGTACAGGATATCACACTTAGCATATGGAAAAACAGCGCATTTTGTTCACAAAAAAATGCAGCAAAAGAACGACAGATATGGAGTCCACGAGATTGAAAAAGGGCCCGATTAAGCACAGACTACAGAGATGTCAACAATCTACCAAGCCTAATTTTCCAACCTAGCTACAAATGCAGATAGAAAAGGCCAGAGGGGAGCTGACGGCCACACATACATGTCAAATCAGGGAAAGTAGCTGCTGGTTAAAACAAAGCCATTAGCTAGAGTAGTTAGATAAAAACTTAAAAAGCGTAACTTTATTAATTGTGTGGTTTGCGTGAACCTTATATATAATTAATTTGTTGCAAAAAACAGAGTTTTTTACCGTGTTTAAACACCTAATTTTTTTCCAAATCTGGCAGCATTTAATAACTTATGTAAATCAAATATTCACTTCTATGCAAGGAAACAAGTCTATAAATAATATTAGGAGTGAACTACAGGCAATAAAATAATTTAGGAGTGACCTAAGGACTGCTGTTCATGAATGGATGAAAGTATTTGGGATGCGGAATACTATAGAGGATACGCTAGCATTGCTCAAAAAAAATTGTCCGCATCATTGCTTTGCTTAACAGAAGTTCATAAATTTTTTCGGTGAGCTTGCAATCCACACTGGAATCATCTCGCCTATAAACATCGTTCCCAACTTATTGGCTATTCAGAAATGGGTCTAGATAATAAACATACAACATGGGAACCAATGAATCAAGAGTTCACACTGTGAGTCTCTTGTTTAAACTTCTAGAGTTCGGTAAAATTATTGTCATCGTGTATGAGTTTACTGTGGTGATACGAGGACCAGAAATTTCGCAAGAATTTCACCATAGCAGTGGCTGTAGAGGACGTCCATCCATCAGTGGTTGTTCTTATGGTCACACAATATTGCAAAACTGTAGCCACAGTCTTAAACAAAAAGGTGGTCATCAAGGTAATGCGCTTATTTTGGAGCGTTGATGGAGTGAGCAATGAAATGTTGCATCTCAGCCGGCACCGCCCTCTGTACTTCCTTCATCAGAATTTCCGGGTCATGGCATTCACCCCCCGAATTTGCACTGTTCTCTCCCTTCCTCTGTCGTAATAGCATTGATGAACATTCATTAGCGTGAATCTCCGGTGGTGATACTGATCTCTTCTAAAGGCCAAAAAAATGCGAATAAGTGGGCGCATGAATTGATTCTGACCAATGTGAGTAGAAGGAAGTTCCTAGCACGAGTATATTAGTTATAAGCTTGGTTTCCTGGTGGTATGATAGCCTCAACTATATCTAACCTGACCATCAGTCCCCTTCTGATGGGGGTGGGCGTCAGTAATTTGACTTTCACCTCGAGCTGGGCAGACTTGAGATTCCGGCTGTCTTTGCAAGCGAGTTAACATATTCTCAACATAACGACTGAGAGGTATCCGCGCGTTGCTGGTGTGATGAGTCGGACTCTCTTCCACCGCCTCTGCATCTTGTGTTGGAGGGGAAAGTTTGGATGTGGCGTTCTCGGCATTTTTGGTGTGGGAAGGGACGGTTTGCACGTTGTCACCAACAATGCTACCCGTGTCCTATGATTTGCATTTAAGTAATGCTAGTTCCTATCCTGATTTCCACTTTATGATATTGTGAACTACTTGTTTGCCGTACATTTTCGGCACGAAATTCATCTAGTATCACTTTCCTAAAATCATTTATCAGTTTACACCTTTAGTAATAGCATGGCCTTATATGCAGTTGTTTAAATCAATGGTAGGAATTGTTGATTACAGGATTCATCTTTTCAAAGGCTACAGGACACTCTCGAATTGTTGTATCTGTTTTGCGTTTCTTAAGGAGTCGGCCATCTACGCATCAGGTGACCTCTTCAGGACAGTAACTGCATCTTTGCTGGTCACGTGATAGTGGAAGGATTCAAAAAGCCGTGCTCCTACACAATGCGAGCAATTTATCTCGCTGTAACGCATCTCCTTTGCTATAAGCTCGTTAATACAAACTGTACAGGTTAAGTGGTAATTTGTGGGCATCTTATTAGCCAACTTATGCAGTTGCGAAGACCTGCTTCAGTATTTCTAGATTACACCTCCATTTAGTCTTTGCAATTTACTAGCGAAAACTTCTACCTACAGTTGTGAACCACTTGTAGTGAGAATCGGTTTTAGAAAATCACCTGAAAACACTTCGAAGTCCCACTCGCTCTGTCACTTTTGAGGCAGCGCAACAAAGTAACTGATGAATATTTGGTGGAATTCCAACTATTTTGCAACATTTTCAGTCACATTAACACCTGTCAAAAGACCTCCATGTTAAAACAATCATCTCTCCCACTAGAACGGCTTATATCACAACTTTAGAGAGGCCTCATAGCGCTGAACTCCGCTTTTGGTGATTCGGCTTGGAATTTCAACCAAAAGAACGTAATTAAAGTTATTTACACACAGAAGGCTAATTTCACAGATTCTGAGTGGAACGATGCCGGAAGAAAGAGCCGTTTACTATGGAAAAATTACCTATAATACCCCTTGTTCTCGATAACCCTTCCCATTTTCGTTAAACCGGATCCTACCTTTGTGCCCATGTAAAATGGATTACTAGCTTACCTCACAACCACCATCACGACTAGTACTAAGATCGCCATGATTATCCACCCCAGAACCACTCCTTGGACGTCCATACTGCATCTGTGCTGCAACCCAGGGATCATAAATAACACTTTTCTCCTTCGCCTGAATAGTCGACGACACCACGCGCATGTGACCAGAACTTCTGAACGGCCGAACATCATCTTCCTTTTCCTCAATCACTTTCGACCGAACATCCAGCATGCGTAGCTCCTCCACTTCCGCCACTTTTGGTTTGCCCTGAAAGATATTCCACCAGAACCACACCAGCACCAACATTATAAGGTGGTAGAAGGCATTGCCAAAGAAGATGAGGAGGAAGAGAGCAGAAAGGAAGGAGATACCAGCACAGAGGCCCAGAGTGCCACCGATATTGGCCATTAGGGCGAAGAGGGTGCTGGTCACCTCCTCATTCCACGTGTCTACTCGAGCCGAGCGTAGTCGAATGTCAATTATGATTATATTTTTGCCGTCAGTAAAGTTGGTCTGTCCGCCCGTTGCATCGCCTAGCATTTGAGACCACTTTTGATGGATGGCTGTGTTGGAGTCCAGGGTGGAGAGATTGAGGTCCATCATGTGTCTAGTGATTAGCGGCAACTTCATTGTGAAGTTGCCGTTGATATTGGACACCTCAATTTTGCGTGTATGGTAAAGCATCTGGTAAAACAGGCAGAGGTGGATATAATTACACCGCTTCATGATTGAAGATAATTTACACAGAAGAAACGCAGTTATGATCATCAAGTCATGATCAGAGGCACACGATTACAAATTCTTTCACACTTCGATAAGCTTTGTACATCTACTGACTTCGAATAGGTCAGTTCGCATTTAGCTGCAAGTTGAATTGATCTTGTGTTGCGTCACTAAGTTAAAATATACTTACCTTTAGCTAATATTTAGGTCATCTTAAAATCCATTGACACAAAACACACCCAACGGGGTATGACTGAAGCAAACGCCTCTGCACACCTTGTTACAGTTGACTGGGCACACCTCCTGTCGTAGTTTTTTTCTCATGTCTGGATCATCTCTCGACTCCCATAACAGATCTGGATTGATATAGGCATCAAGAACATTGGAGGTTGGCAGTTTGCTCAACCTCTCATGACACTCAAAGTTGGCACGCGCTCGTTGGGAGGTACGGTCTCGCAAATCGCGGCAGAAATCGACCCTCAGATGAGAAAGATCCAACACCTTCGGAGTTCCTCGGGCCCGTGGATCATCATCGGGCTCTGGAATGTGTGGCACGTGTAGAAGATCTGAGTAGCATCCGCAGGTCTCCAGAATGTGTGACTGCTTTCGATTAGCCACACAGTCCTCGTATGTGTAGTTGTACTCCAGATACTTTGTCAATCCTCCGAAACTCGTGTATCTATTTAATCAATTCTTTAAATGTGAAGTGTTTAACTTAAAACGGTAGATACACTTAGAAACTGCAAAGTCCCTATCATCAAAGTGTCTCATTTGACCGAATACCTGAGTGACCTGAAATAGTAAACCGAAGAAGACAACTTCAACAGCCACGTAGTGTGTACAAGAAAAGTTTGTCCTACCTGTAGGGCTTTGGGTATCTGCTGCACTTCTTGAAGCCGCGAGTGGTTGAGACAAAGTGTAGGCCGGTAACTTGGACCCTGGCAATTTGCCCGAAGTGAACTGCAAAGCTGGATGGCATACTACTAATCTCATAGCCTGGGAAGGTCCCAGGATTATGCACGAAAATGTTTATCCCATCGTAGCTTGGGGCGTCAAACATATGGCTCTGAAAGTTTACGCGACAATTGAGTTTTCAAATGAAGAGGTTTGGAAAAAGCTAACTCGTAGCTAGTCGTATTGCCAAAAGCTATAATTATCTACTACTAACTCACGCTCTTTAATCCCTGCAGATTATAACAATATCAGTCTTTTAATCCTAACACGGCTAGGTCTAATAACGTCATCAGCGAGGAGTTGGAGCTCAACACCCCAATTCCTATTTTAACTGAGCTCGATTTAATTAGGCGACACACTTCGAGATCATTGAGGATCATGTAGGGTTCGGCACCGGTGCCGTTTTGCTCGGCCACGTAGACAAATGTGAGGCCAGCACCCACGGTGACTCTGCGTTTTTCCTCTCTTGGTGAGAAGGTGAAGCACTTGAGGTAGCGCAGATGCACGACTTCAGTGAAGTTGGCAAAGGAGCAGTGCTCCCCGTTGTAGGTACAGTACATCAAGTGGTCGTAGCTCCGTGGATCTGACAAGCCTAAATGCAGGGGTGTGAATGTCGCTAAATCACTTCCCCTTCTCATTAACACCCATGAACTAACTTATATTCTTTATTTAACAGTATAATGACTTAAACTGACGGAATTTGAGTGAACTTACGTCGATGAATTGCCAGTTGTATTAGCATGGCAGCCTGGACGTTCAAATCAGTCGGATGCAGCCCTGCATATTTTAACTTCTGCACGACATGACTTTTTAAATTCTCCAACTCGGCAAGATCCTCCTGTGGCATAGAGAAGTTGGAAAACGGCGCAACTGGACAGATAGTGATATCAGGAAAGACGAGTATTTCATTTTCCGAGAGGATTTGCGTTGCCACAGGGTTGGAGATGTAAGTGAGAATCAGGTCTCTTAGCAGAGCTATAAGAATGGTCATCACAATGATGAAAACTAAGAGCCAGAAAAGAGCTAACCACCCGATTCGGATGTCAATGTGTTTTAGGGCGTGCTCTTTGCTACGAGCGTGAAGCAGTCGACGCCGAGCTAAACGTCCGTGACGGGCGATGTAGTAGGGTAGGTAGGAGGGCTTGCGCTTCTCAAAGTACTCCATCGCAGCGGCTTCTCCCTCCAGTCCTGCTGCGGAGGTTTTTTTTTGACTACCCATTTTCTACTCGCGTTTGGACGATTCTCAGGCAAGCAAAAGCATCGGCCAGGTCGGGGTGTGTCAATTTAAAACCAGACAAATCGATTTATTTCAGGTTGAAATTGAAGTTACTGTCCGTGGCTCATAACTAATGTTCAAATCAGTCAAAGTGTGTGGAATCTATCTTAAGGTAAAAATGACATCTATAAAGAAAGTGGGTCAAACACGTGACCATTGTCGACGCATCCAAATCGCTGATGGAACTTGCAACCACGGTTCCCTCTTGCCCAGTCTTATTCCCATGCTTCAGGTGGAACGGACACTTACAGTGCTGTGCATTAGGAGCATGCCATAGTGGCTTGCTAGATATTCGTAGCATCCCGATTACTTCTGAAGACATCATAGTGGTGCGGAATTTGAAAAAGACATGGTTATTGATAGTGTAATCATTATTATGCATAGAAGCATTTGAGTGATGGACCAGAAAGCCTGCATAACACTATATGCAATGACTGATACGATCAAACGTGGACTATTCTGCACTCTGTTAAAATTATGGGCCATTGTCTCAAATATTCCACATTCTCTACAGTTATCCTCTGGGTACCGACCTGAACAATGTCTGACTTCAGCTTCAAACGTTTTTGCCTTCTGTTTGCTTAACCTACGTTATTCCTTGTTTGACTAAGTGTATACAAATTTCTACCTGAAGGTGCTTAAAATGTCGATGATTTTTTAAGCATTTCTGCGTACGCGTTACAGGCCTGGATAGAATTAGAAATCTTGATGTTTCAATACAACAGGAAAGGTATAAAGGATGTAGAAAAGTTGATTTTGTGGTTGTAGAAAGCATTGTGCTAAAATCTAATCAGATTTAAAGTTTAGTAATGTACTACTTTGATTATTAGTTCAACTCCCCTTTGGTACTTCTGCTGGGAGTAATAGTCTCTGAACAAAGCCCTTCGATGTGTCGATAAACAATCTTCCCAAGAAGTATTATTGTAATGCGTTGGTTGTTCAACCCCCAGTTTTGGTAAAGGGGCCACGTAGGTGCGCCGCTATTGCACCTGTGCCGGGTGGGCTGCCTTGCGGGCCGTGCCGGTAGCCCCAACCCTACTGTATGCCAAAAATGTGCTATGCCTGGGTACTTCGTTTTCTCTCATCTGCGGAGAAGCTCTGAGGTGACGTAATAACAGTACTTTTAGTCCACCTATAATTACTAAAAGCCATTTCCATCAGTTTTTTGCACTTAGAAATTCAAAATTTTTGTTATTGACTCAATCTTGAATGGAAATGATTTAAGTTATGTGCTTGTGCAAATAAATCTTCTGCTAGATGTACTAAAAGTCATGGAATTTAGTAAAAATGGAGTATGAAGAGACGCAGCAAATGAAGCCCAACAAGTGAGTCCTCTTAGCAAACAAGAAATTTTAGTTTTTTTTATCTATCGTGTAGTGGAAACAGTCGAGCGTTCACTTTAAGAAGCGAAACTCAGCACTTTACATTTAATGATTTCACTGGTTAGTTGCTTTTTTTCTCAATGGTTGGACTTTGTGCGTAGAACATTCCTGTAATCCGTAAAGTATTATGGCTAGTAACTATATAAGTCACCTGAAGAAACAGTTTTTAGCCCACGACTTGGAGGGTTCATCGCAAAACAGTTCGAGGAGCATTATTCCGAATTTAGCGAATTACGTATTTAGGATGGCCTAACGGTGTGTTTTGGGCTTTTTTAATGCTGTTGCATGTCAGGAATGGCTATTCTTCAATCTCGTATCAAGGTCACGGCTGAGGTACTTTGCGCAGTCAGTAACGTTAGTCATTGGGGATGGGGGAGACTTGTACAGAGACACTAAATAAGCTTATTCAGCCCTCTTTTGATGTAAAGTTGAAACTGCTATCATTAATAAATGAGAGCGAACAGCGGATTTTGAGGCTTAAGGAAATCGTAATTTTTCCTTTGAACTTCTGATTTTCTTGTGAACTAAGATATCTTTTGGTGAGTCAGCTGGAGCACTCTCAGTATTCTCCTCCCACAGTGAACATTTCCTTAGAGAAATCGAAGAAATTCAACAACAATTAGCCAAACTCGAACCGAATGTCATCTCTTCCCTCCAGAGTGGGAAGGATTTGGCCGAAAAAATTATTCCTGATGTACTTCAGATGAAGTCCCTTCAGGCTTCACTCTCTATTGCAGAAAGGGATGAAGCTATTGCACGTTACCGGTAGTTGTAATTATTTAATATCCCTTAAAACTTTCTCTTGTGTTCCTGAAATGGGCTCTTCTGTTTTTATTTAAGGTCAGAAGTAGTTGCATCTCAAGTACTTGGCTCTCTGGACATGTCTTTAGATTCTTTTCTAAATCTCTCTCTGCACCTTGGGACCCATGTTTCTTCCTCGACTCCCGTCTTGCTACCTCTCCCGCCCTTTTACGGCCCAATGTTGGAACATTTCACAAAGTCGGTTTTTTCTAGTACACTTCTATTATCCAATGCGTGTCGGATTGTTTTTGATTTGACTTCCTTGTAGAATGTTCCAGGAGATACTCAGACAAATGGAATTGCCGAAGATAAGGTCAGTCGGCAATTGGATGGAAATTGGAGGTGATCGTACGAGCAATCGATGTCCCTGGGATGAAGACGTTCTGAAGACTTTTCGCTGTTTGTTTCGAACTCTCAGCAACATCAAGTTACCGTATCTTTTGCTTTTTCATCTTTTTGTACACCTTTAATGTCTCCCGATGGGCCTTCGAGTGTTGCATAGTTGGGTTTTGCCGTGTTAGATTTACACTCTTGAATAATTGAACTTGATGGGTCTTGTGGTCGTCTCTACTTCTACCCTTATCCATATTATTTACTCTAGCATAATATGCTGCTCAATCGTCTTATGGTGTTTTGACATCGAGTTGAATCCGGGCAAAGTAATCACTAATCGTAGTATAGTACCCTTAATTCGTCAAGGGTCTTTCATTGCACCATCTTCCTTCTTTTAATAAGACTAAAATAACCTTGAAGTCTTCTTCATCAGCAAAGTTGTGTATTTGCGGCCACTGTTCTACAGGGCTTTATATTGTTCCAATGGTATGTTCTTCTGTAGCCCATTTTACCAAGGTTTATTTCCTCAGTTAACTTCTGAAATCCGAATTCAGTTGGCCATTGTTTAGTTGTCACTCGTTATTTACTGCTTCATCTTGCTTAATCCGTTTCGCTTTAAATTGATGGGCCTTACAACCATATGAACTTACTTAAATACTTTGTACAAGCTTGCTTTGCCAGTGTCAGGTGCATTTTTTCGTCAGTTTTAAAATCGGCTTTGGATAGATCTGCCATTTCACAGCGGCTTATCTTTCAACTGTCTATTTTATACAGTCCTTTCTAATTAGTACGTAATCGACGATATGTGCATCGAACAGGTCATGCTGAAACTCATCATTGAGCCGGAATTTGTTGTCCCTTTGCCCTCCTGTTCCTTTGTGCTTCCTTAAAGTGTAACTCAGAGAAGGGACTGCTGAAACTGACGCCGCAAAACGTGCCAAGTTGTCCATCCCCGTGCGTCTCATCTTGGAGCCACTGGAAAAACGCTTTCTCTTTAACTTCTACGGCGACCGGATCACCAATAAGCCAGAAAAGGTATGTTTCCATGGTACAACTTCCCGTAACTAATGATGTTTTCAGCCCGAATGGTACTTCACCGAGGTTTTAACTTGGATCACCATCAACGACCAATGGTTAACGTGGATGCAAGACGAACAACTCAAGGATTTGGGCAAGACCTCCTCCAACCTTAGGGTATGTCGTCCCCTCACTCCATTTGGTAATTGCTCTCATTTTGCAGTTATACCAATGGTTAACTGAATCACTTGTTACCCTTATCCCTCTTGCGTAGGTGGATTTCATGCAGGGTCTCATAAGCTTTGTGATGGATAAGATCTCCTTCGATCTTGGTCTTCTTAAAAGCCCTCCCAGGCCACGATGTGCAATTCATCTTAAAGGCAAGAGTGAAATAAATTTTCAGTTTGACCCCTAACCACATTCGACTTACAAAAGTCAAAGTAAAGCCTTGCTGTTTGCTTCAAAAGCACTGAATTTCCATTGATTTCTAGCGGTATTTCATATACTCTTTGTGGTTTCTAAAGCGGTTAAAACCTCTCAATTTGCTTAGTATATTTTTTAGCGTTAGTTACTTTCTGGACGAGGAGCGGCATTTTGGGCCATAGTTTTATTTGCTTTTGACACTATATACCTTCTGTTCAAGTTTACTCAATTACTCCCATAAACTGGTCATTTCCAGTCTTTTGGTGTTCGAGAGTTAAGTTACTACATGTTCAATTACCCATATAATAGTGATGGCGTAAACTACATTTTGGCCAAGTTGATTCAACTCATCTTAATCTCTATTAGCCTCAGTTCAGGAGTCGCATTTTCCAACTTGCACATGGTTCATCAGTAATGTTAATTTGACCAAGAAGCTCATGTTTCTACTAATAACGTACACCTACTTATGTTCGATTTTAAGGATAATACATTCTCCAAGTCATCGCGGAGAGTTTGGGATGTCTACTTCTAAGCGTAGAAGCTAACTTTACTTTCCATTATTTTTTTCGTCTTTCTTTCCTAGGAAAGGAAGGGACAGAAGAAGCAGCTGCAGATTCAACCGGCTCGACTATTGGACTATTGACATCACCACCCTCCTTTTTTGGCCACCTCACAGACGAGATGCTCACATTTGAGAAGTGTTTGGAGGGGCTGTGCTACAACCCACAGGCTCTGCGACCTGCCGACCTCTTCACACATCGTCTCGACGTCCTGCAACATTGGATCACCCTTGAGAGCGACCTTGCCCACAGAAAACTTAAGGATCTTTTGGCTAAGCCCTATGCCTGGCGTGTAGATAACAAGTAACTAGAATGATGGACACTAGGAATCCTGTTTGATGCTGGGTTGTGGGCTATTAAATTTCTTATTTGCCCAGCCACACAGTTTTAATTCGTAGTAATCGGTAGGCAATGATTTCATTCCATGATTCAACTGACTCAACAGTTGATCTATTTCTGTCTACTCTTTAACTTCGATTCCTGTGGAGTGATGGATCAGAGAGTTGGGAGATGCTGGAGGGTTCCAAGACTTCT